TCATTCCCAAGATAAAAATACACTCTCAAACTCCAATCTTACTTATCCTTAAGTTCAAAGTCTCCTTCTATTTCAATAGAAGATGAATTTTCGGCCAAGGCTAAGTAAGCTTCCTCTTCATCTTTTCTTTTTCTTTTTTTCGAAAAGAGCCAAGCTCTTCTTCATCCAAGTTCTTTTGTTTTTCTTCTTATTTTCTTAATGCCTAATCTAACTCTTAATCTCTTCTTGTATTAGAGAGAAAAGAGCTAACAAATCCTTCCCCTAAAGAGTATAGGTGAGAATTCTTGAATTCTTGCTCAAACCTACAACACCACTAGTATTTTCGGTTTTTATGTGTTTTTATGTGTTTTTAGGTGTTTTATTTGTTTATTCTTGCATATTATGTGATTATATGTTTTAGATGATGATTGCATGTTAGTGTTTTGAAAAGATGACTTTGTTCTTGAAGTTCGATGATTTTTCGAAAATTGGGGAAAAATGTTTTAAAAGGCTTATTTGGCTTAATTAGTGCCTTGCATGTGTTTATCTAGTGTTTGATTGTTGATTTTTGAAAAGAAAATGAATTTTTGGCCTAGCCATGAAACTTTCGAATTTTTGGGGAAAAATGTTTTCAGTAGCTTATTTGGCTTAATTAGTGCCTTGCATTTATTGATCTAGTGTTTGATTGTTGATTTTTGAAAAGAAAATGAATTTTTGACTTAGCTAAGGAACTTTCGAATTTTAGAGGTAAAATGCTTGAAATTGCTTATGTGGTTTATTTTGTGTTTTGTATGTGTTGATCTTGTGTTGATTGTTGTTTTAAGGCCTTGCATGTTAAGATTGGTGATTGATTGTTGATCTAAGGTCTTGCATGTTAAGATCTAGTGATTGATGGTTGATCTAAAGTCTTGCATGTTAAGATCTAGTGTTTTCTATGAAAAATGGTTTAAGAACTAAGAATTTGTGATAATTTGGTTTAAAATACTCTTGCATGAGAAGATCTAGTGTATTTGCTTGAATAAATGTAAAGATGGAAGTCTTGAATTTTATTCTTGTAAAAATGCTAGATCTAGTAAACTTTGATGTTAGATTGTTTTTGCATGTTAATATTTCGGTTATTTCTATATCTTTATGGCTAAATGATTTTGTGAAACTTTATGTGTATTTTCTATGTGCTCCTATGTGCTCTTGCTTGCTTATGTGAATCATTGGGTGTGAGGATGAGAGAAGGGTAAGTAGAATGGTGCATGGGTGGGTGCATTAAGTGTCATGAATTTTTAAAAAAGATAAAACTATGTTGGAAAGTCTTTCGAGGTTATGGTAAATTTCTCGGGTACGGCGAGCCTGGTACCGTAGGGCCTAGTGGTGGTTTGATCCCACGTAGTTAGACATGGTTCGAAATATATGGGGTTATTTACCGGTAACTTAGATTGGCTCTTCCGAGGGATTCCCGACAATTTTTCATGTCATGCATGTTGCATTATGGTGTTGATGATATAGGGGGAAAATCTCACTCTATGGTCTTGGGATCGTAGGGTTATAAAGGTGGGAAATTCCTTCTATAATCTTCAATACGTGTCATGGCATAGGGTTATAAAGGTGGGATATTCTCACTCTATGGTCTTGGGATCACAGGGTTATAAAGGTGGGAATTATCTCACTCTATGCGTGTGGCAATTATGTGAATGAAGAACGCCGACGAAAAAGGGAAGTATATGATTGTTTTACTTCGTGTTGTATGTTCATGTATAAGATATATGTATTTATGTATATGTATAGATATATGTATGCTCTATGTGCTATGTGTATTCGTTATTACTTCAAAATTCTCATTGAGTCCTCAAAGGCTCACATAGGTGTTGTATGTTTGTAGGTATACCCGATTTAGGGCCCGAGGAGTAAAGCTGGGAATCGAGCTCGAGAATCGGAAGGAGATCGTATGGAGGGGTTGTGGATAGTGTTGGCTCTCAATTTAGTTATGTGGTTTTATTTGTATAATATGCTTGTAAAAACTTTTGATACGGTTTTAGGTATTTTCTACCGTTCGCTTCCTCCGATCGATGGAAATTATTAAAAGACGACGTGTGTAATAGTAACTAGGATTACCCTATTTTGGATAATTAATTGGTAATCCGTAGCCTTTTGTAAGCGGAAGCAAATTTTCACTATTTATATGCATGCATGCTTTCGACTAGTAATTTCTTCGTGTTTTGTCTCCATGTTCTAAAATTATTTTCATATAGGTTCTCTGCTTAGAAAATCATGAACGTTTAGGAGTCTCTGCATCTCTCTGTGGTCATCATTTTGATAGGTCTTGTGCATCATTTGGGTAAGTATTCATTTAGTTATGATTTATTTCTCACTACTGCCTTGATACAGGGCCATTCGGGTGTTTTCTGGTCTAACTGGAGTTTTACTCACCCAAATGCCTTGTTTCCACTTGGAAAATGTTTCAAACTTATTTTTCTGCCTTGGGGTAAATTTGGTAGATTTTGGGTCAGTGAGGAATTTATTGTGAATTTTCAAAACTCCCTCCCCTGTTCTGGATTTTAAACCGAGTGATTGTGCCATTTTATTTATTTTCTCATACATGGCCATGCATATTTAAAAACTGTTTTAACTGAGTGATCTAGACCCGTGTTAGATGGTATGGTATTATTTTGGGGTCATTTGCATGAGTAGTTTAAGAGGAATTAATTTTTAAAACTTCTGCATTCACTACCAAAAAAAAGGGCTTTTATGACGGACGATTCAGTCACGAAATTGAAGAAAATATGTCACAAAAGCCCTTTTGTCACAACTTTGTGACCGAATTGTTCTATCAGAAAAACCCTCGTCACAAAACACATTTGTGACTGATTTTTCTTGTCCGTCACAATGTTTATGACAGATACGTCTGTCGCAATTAATCTAATTTCGTCACAAATACGTAATCTAGGGTCTCCAAGTATTGTGACGGATTTCGTCACAAACCTTTTTATTGGTCATTAAAATGTCACAAATTACAGAGAATTTACATCATTTGTCCGTGACAGATGTCGTCATAAAACACGTCCGTCACAAAACACGTCCGTCACAGATAATCCATCCCTAACATCGGTCACAAATAATTCATTCAAACCTCCGTCACAAAATTCCATCACAAGTATCCCATCACAAATCTGTTACAAATATTTAATTATCTTTGGGTCACAATTCCATCACTCGTTGTTGATTCAGGAAGTTCGCTATTCGCTATTCAAAGCTATTTTAGTTTTTTTATACCTGTTATCCGAATATTTCAAAACTTCATTCAACTTCAAAATTCTTGATAATCAACACAAAATCGACTACAAAACTAACAAAAAGTAGAAGATTCCAAATAAATTCTCACAGAAAATTCTTAGAACACCAAATTCACATATGATTCCACAATTGTCAAAACGTATAATACATAGACCGAAAGAAAACTCAAATGAGTTTTGCATTAAAATTGAAGGAAGCCACCTAATTTATCAATTCGATACAAGTTAAAAAAGCTATTTCTTCTGTAACTATGTTCGAGATCAATATCCTTCTCATTTACGTGCTCGAGCTTGTTGATGCAGAAAGCTGGTTTCGATCAGACCGCTGCTGCATTGAGCCCTCAAATTTGAACTCGAACAAAATTTACACGAGACCCTGTGAGCAAAGAAATTTATTTAACAATCAGTAAATTCCAATGTGGAGATTTCATGATTATGGAAAAAGAATTTATAATTATTCCCTTATACTTATTGATGTGTAATCTATCACAATAGGAAGAAAAAAATTACTCTTGTCTTCCACAATTATGCATGAGCTATGTAGAGTTTGTGATGATTCTTGATGCTATTGGCATTTGAAAAACAAGAAATGCATCTTGCATCAATATTATTCCATTCAGATGTGAATATACTACCATATAGCATAAACTTATCTCCACAAGAAACATAAGATAGGCCACACAGAAATGGGTGCAATTTATGATAGGGCATTGATAGCTCAAGATCATTCGAAGAGAGAAATGAAAATTCTTCTAAATATAAAAGCTCAACTCAAATGCATTGGCGATGACTAAAACCAACCTTAAAAGCAAATCTGACTACTTAGATGGAAAAAAAATCCTAGACTGCTAAAGCACAATTCCATAAGAGTTAATTAGACCTTGAAAACACTATTACAAAAATAAAAGTAGTGCGACCTCTAACAACTACAGAAGATAACAAGATGTTAATCTCGAACAATAATTGTTTAAATACGGCCTAACTGCAGATCTGGGGAATTAATTATAACATTTCAATATACATTTGTATCCAAAACTCAGAATTCCTGTAGACACGGATATGTAGTATAGTACAAAATCATAAACTGCACACTTAAATTGCCGCTAGAAGAAATTAGATACCCTACCCTATAAGTACCTAAAATCACAATAATTGATTCCCAGACTACCGCCGTCGATGGTTTGATGTTTGAAACAAAGTTGGAGTTTAAAAAGAAATCGTACAGAAACCCTAACCTTTTCACCGGGCGTTTTGTGGATGTATTCTGGTGCTTGTTGGCAGTGTCCACGGTATTAATTTATGGTAGTGCAGGCGTCGAGTCAAATGTCAAAAAACCCCTCTGACCGGGTCAATGACCCGGGTTTTCATACAAAACGTTGTGCGGGAAGCTGTTGGTGACGGGATTTGGCCGGAGTTCGTCGGGGGTGGCCGGATCTGGGTGGAGTAGGCCGTGGGTTGCCGGAATCCGACGTGGATTGCCGAACCGAACAGATGTGTGGTGGAAAAGAAGAAAAAAAAAATTAGAAAAGGAAGAGATAGAGAGAAGGAAGAAGAAAAAAAATAGAAGAAACAATTAATTGTGAGTAAAAGAGAGGGATGGGTGCTGAATTTCTTGAGAAAGAAACAGAGATAAAGATGATGGGAAGGAGGAGGCGGCCGCAATGACGAGAGAATAAAATGTAGAGAGAAGAGAGAGAGAGAGAGAAGAAAGGGCGTAAAAAATATTTAAAAAAATGGGTGGGGTGAATAATAAAGATAAGAGTCTATATTAAAAAATAATAAAAAAATTAAAACACCCGGGTTGAATCCGGTTGAACCGGTCCAACCGTGACCCCGAATGCTTATTCGGTTTTGTGTCCAATCCGATTCTGACAATACTGGTTATTACATAATATATATACTACAAATCAAAGTACAATTAATTAATTTAGGCTTGATAATTTAATTTAGTTTAATTATAGACTTCATTTTTTAACTAATCAAATTCTTTTTTCAAAATAGTAAAATATTGACATATAAATGAAATAATGCATTTTTTATTATTTATAAATAATTAAAAAAATATCTTAATAGCTAAAGATTGAAGTATTATCCCAGTGCGTTAAAGAATTAAAGAGGAATAGTATGAATTTTGAACAATATCTAAAATATATTTGCAGTATTAGCATTAGAATAGTTCATATTTGTTATATTATTATTTTTTTAATATATTATAATTAGTTTTAGTCACCATTAAATTGTTTTACAAATATCAAAATAAGTATGAATGATTAATAAATCAAAATCAAAATGTGTTTATTTTTAATCAATAAACATATGTGTCGAATTTGTGACCAGGATATCAAAAGTGGCGAATTAATGACAAAACTTAAAATGTGACAGAATCGTTACCGAATTACATGTGACGGATTTGTGATTGAATAAAGATAGTGTCAAATAAATGACAGAATTTAAAATATGACAGATTTATGACGGAGTTGTGTATGACAGATGTATGAGATGTATGACGGCGATGAAGTAATGACGGATCAATGACGAACCTTGAAATGTGACAGGTTTACGACTGAAATGTATGTGATAAATTTGTGATGGAAACGGGATTGTGTCGAATTTGTGACCAATATTACTCAAACGGTTACTTCTTTAAAAATATTATGACCGGTTTGTGACCACACTATTTTTCGTCATGAAATATGTCACTGATTTGTGACAAAACTAATTTCTGTTAAACAATATGTGACTGAAATGTGACAAAAGATTGGTTGTCACATAATTCGTCGCAAAATTGGTCACGTACTCGTCACAATCAATTGCAGAGTTTTTGTAATGAAAGCAGTCACAAATTTGTCACTAATTCCATCACTAGTTGTGACAGATTTGGTGTGTCACAAATTTTCCGTTACAAAAGCCATGTTTTTTGGTAGTGATTGAATCTGTCCGCATTTGCATTAAGTCCGTCATGCCTAGTTACTTTCTAGTCTTGCATTTAGCATGCATTGGTGTTAATTGATCGATTAGGGTTTAGCAAGTTGTGCCCTCTCTCCCTCTGATTTAAAAAGAAAAATTTTCACGTAAATTTATATCCACAAAAATTATGTTTTCAAAAGTCTTCCGCTGCGATTACATATAATAAGGGTAATCGAGAGAGGGGTGTCACATCGGATTTCGGATGATTAAGATATTAATGATTTACTAAACTTGCACAGTTTGTGAGTCAGCTGAGGATTTGCTTTTAAAATCGATGTTTTCCTAGTTTGATTTCCTTGATTCTACTTGGAATATATTTGTCACTTATAAAACCAATTTTCTGCAAAGTCTTACATTGTTTTAACAAAAGGGTGATTTATTGGGTATTTTCAAAGTGGTTGGTTCTGTTTCTGAAAGTGTGACCACACTCCTGCACTGTTTTACTCATTTCTCTTAGTCTACTAGTTATTTTGGAAAACGATTTTATAGGAGTCTTTTACACTCATACAGGAGTATTATGTCAAAGTTTCAGAGTTTTTGAAGATATGGTGTAAGAGAAATGTATTTTTGAAGTTAAAGTGTCAAAAATGTACGATTTTCCTATGAGTAAACTACTTGAATCAAAAGGTCCTTTGTGAGCATGGTTTAAACTCTTCAGGCATAACTTAACATAATAGTTGAACATAGATGAAGCTTCCCATGAGTATTGAGCTACACCTAAGAAATATTCTTATACTAATCTATGATTAGAATAATAAGTTTTTTTTCGAACTTACTATGTGCTAGTACTTATAATGAATTAGATTTCCTGATGATTCTATAAATAAGAAGCGTTGAATTTAATTATGTGTATTTGAATTATGTGATTTAGTCTTGTGAGGTATAAGTATGTATATGTACAAGTATATTTACATGTATATCGACAGTTTAGACCTATGATGTTATAGGCGTACTCCCTTCGGGTTGAGGAAACTTATAATCCATAGTTATAAATTAGAGTATATATGTATAGGTATAATTATATATATACGTATAAGTACCTATGTGTATATACGTGTACAAGTATATGTGACTTTATTATTAATGTTTGATCTATATGTGCTTACTATATCCTCGGAAATTACTTCCTAATTATGTGATTTAATTCCTTCGAATTATGTGAATGATATAATTGGAATTATTATCGTGTTGCTATTAAGATCTTTGACTTACGTGCATTCATTGTTAGAGTAGGTGACCAACAAGCCAACTTGTGGCTGTGGTCTTTCTCTTTTCCTTGTAATAAAACAATCGTTTTTCGTTCGTAATAATAAAATATCTTATTTGGCATTCTATATCTGTTATCCCATGCAAGTAGCATAGATATAGTCCTAACGAGTTACTCTATTACTGTGAGTTGATCTAGGAGAATCGTGAGATAACTCAGCAATGTAATGTAACTGTTAAACCTTGTTCTTAGTCGATGGGTTACGCCAATAATGAGGATACCGGCCTTTCCCTTTTGAGACTAGCACTTAGTGTATGTGTACTGCGTCTCATTAGTCCTCGGTGTTGTGACATCGGCATACTTGAGTGGGTGCTCATATTAGATGAGTTCACTGAACTCGCTCGCCCTAGAAATCTATAAGTGGTTCTCATTCATCGAGTAATAGGTTTCTAAGATATAGTTGTGCACCATTAGTCCTTAAGACCTAGACATCACCGTGACTTCACTAGAGGACCGATTGTATCGTGACCTGTCCCTGAGTCCCACCGCGGACCACACCAAGGGCCAACGTTCGTGCAATCCGAAATCTAGTGTGAAGTCCGTGTATTGTAGTAGGGGATTCGAGCGCTTGAGTAGTCATGGAAGTCCTGTGTGTTCTGACGGTTTATAATCAATGGAATTTCTGGCCAGAGTTGATAGTGGGGTGATAAGGGAAATGTGTTTCCCTAAGTCGCACACGAACGGATTTATAATACCTAGAACGTTCGCATGGTTATTGAACTTTATAAGAGGTCTCGGTGAACCAATGCCTCTAGTTCAATCGGGACATGTGCTGCGAAAGGATCGTACTGTACGCTAACTATATCATAAGGTACTTGCAGGCACTTCACTTGTATCTAGGGAATCATGATGCGTAGTTGCTAGACGCCAATCTTGTTTCGTTGGGCACCGATTTGATTGGGGATTAGGTAAAATGAGTTTTACTCTAATCAAGACTTTTAGGAGGAGTTCGTATAAGAGCAATGTGTTGTTCGAATCACAAATAGTTGTGAGCCCACGGCTAGCATACACCTGAACCATTGAGGGTCACACTTCTCGTGTAACATGGATCCTTGATAACAATGAGCATAGGTTAATATGTTAATCTTTGCAAAGTTGGAGGTCAATATGATTGAGTCCAAGATTCGTGATTGTGGATTACGAGTCGGAATAAACGTAGAGAAAGAGACATGCGGAAATTAGTGAACTTTCTAAATTGAGAAGTTTCCCAATTTAGCAGGTCCACTGAAGTGGAAGTTTCCAATTTTGGAAATTGGAAATTTCGAAGAGGCACTCGTATCGACGAGGACTTTGAGCTCGTCACAAATATAATTTTGTTATAATTTTGTGGACGATCGTTTATTAGAAACGAGGCCAACGAGGGAATGGGTTTAATGCATCAGTGGGTCAAGCCCAATGACTTAAGCCCGCTAGGGTTGAAAACCCTAGGTATAAATAGACCTCAAAAGGAGTTTTGAGATCAGATTTTTCAGCACACAAACCCTAGCCGCTCAACCCCTCTCGGCCGTTGCATCTCCGCCGCGCCACCGCCGGTCTTCGCCGGAAACCGCCGGTTTTCTCCCGTTTATTCCTTCGTTTATTCTTGTTGTTTATCTAACTCGTTTACATCTAGTGCTGTAGTTCGAGTGGGTCAAAATATACGAGGTGAAACCTAATTGGAGAGGAGCTGCTGCCCCGACGAATCCGCGCACCGCCGCACGCGCCGCACCGCCGCTCACGCGCCGCCGCTGCCGCTGCCACGCGCCGCCGCTGCTGCTGCCGTTCGTTGCCATTCGTCGCTTGCTGGATCAGCTTGTTCCAGCCGTGAATTGCAGCCCGTGGATTGGTAATTTGCAGCTTGTACGTGACTCGTTTTAGGATTTCGATTCGTCGAAATCTCACGCTACAAGAGGTAATAAATCGGAACTTTCGTAATTCGATTCGAACATGTTTGTATGATTATTAATTTGCAAGCATGAGTAATACGTGATTACATGTTTCGATTTTGTGAAATTAAGAATAAGCATGTTTCGTAATTTTCGGTTTTACGCGTTTTTCAATTAAATCGATAATTACCATATGTATGGCGGAAGCGTTAAGGTACGTTGACTATGTGATTAGTTTTG